TATAATTTCAGTTATTTAAATCATTTAATATTTCTGTATACAAAATTTTATATTTAAAACATTAATCTCCACATGAATTTATGAATTTAATTGCACTCATGCCACCTCTGAGCCTCATTAAACGTCTGAAAATGTACCTACAAGCCACTTTTGTGTTCTGTGTCACCTCTGTAGTACAAATAATTTTTTTATTAATACTAATTTCATATGATTGGTAACTTATTTGTCTTATTCTACTTCTTATTATATTGTTTTAAATAGAAATTTTAAAAAGCTTATAAACATAAATTTTTTAATTTAACAAATGAAAATGATGCCATTACAAAGGTAAAAAAAGAAAATACCCCTGTAAGTCACTTTGAGTCAAATGTCACCTCATATTATGAAGGCAAATTTTTTTTATCAGAATTTGTGATTATTGATCAGAAGGTGCTCCTAAATTTTTTTAATTAGAAGGACAAGCGCTCCTAATTACAAGCAGAAACTGCTCTTAAACTGGGTGTGTGACAGGTATGGCTCAGGAATAGGGTTTGGCTGAGGAAAACATTTCAGTCAAAATATATATTTTTTTACTTTAACCCCTGATTCCAGTGCATGTGGCAAAGAGGTTTGCATACTTGAGCTAAGGAAAGAGGGTTGTACTAGAAATGCAAACAGTAAAATTTTGTGTTTGTACATGCAGGCGATTTTTTTCTCTCGGGAGAAAATCGCAGATGCTCGCATGGTCGCGGCTCGTACCGTGTGAGAAGAATTACGGGCCGATCCGAGAATGTTACGAACACCTCCCGTCCTCCCGATAATTTTCAAACATGTCAAAAATAATCGGATGCTGATCCTAGAATCGCCCCTGGTTATTACATAAATGCTTTTTTATTGATGATGAGGACATTTTAAGTTATGAAACTTGCAGGATGTATTAAGCATACAGAGACCTTTTCTGTATCAAAAGATCAAGGGAAATTTGGTTTCTCATGTCATGATCCCTTTAATGTAACATACTGTTCCTATTTCACTTTTTTTTTTTTAAGGCAATCGGTTTGCATGCTTTTTTTAAGTAAGCCTAACTAATTGGATTGTACAGTGTAGTGAATAAGGAACTTTCACAGTATTGATATTGATTGAGTTGATGTGAACTGTGTTTGATGAGTTTGTGGTTGTGTGTTTGCAGAATGATTCCTCCCTCCAGTAAGGCCTTCCACGTCACCAACCTGGTATCGGGGACTCTCTATGACCTGTGTGTGCTGGCCGCCTGGGACGACTCGGCCACCACGCTCACTGCCACTAACGTGGTGGGCTGCGTGCAGTTCTACACCCGGGACGAGTACCCACAGTGCCAGTCTCTGCACGGGCAGCTGTTGGGCGGCACCATGATCCTGGTGGTGGGCGGCGTGATCGTGGCCACGCTGCTGGTGTTTATCGTCATCCTGATGGTGCGCTACAAGGCAGGGGAAGGTGAAACCCCCGCCAGCAAGCTGAGCAGCGTCAGTGAGATGTACTCTCAGACAAACGGAGGAAGGCCAGGGCAGAACGGACTGCCTCTGCTGGCGCCCAAGCCCAAAGTCAGCATGCAGGACGAAGTGGTTGAATTCAAGGGCGGTTCGCTCCAGAGTAGCGTGTCCTCTTCCTCCTCCTCTTCCTCCTCGGGGAAAAACCATTACGCCTATGGAGAGTCCCCACAAGGATAGCTGACCAGACGTGTTGTGTGTGTGTGTGTATGTATGTGTGTGTGTGTGTGCGTGTCTGTGTGTGTGTGTGTGAGTGTGAGTGTGAGACGTGTGTGTGAGTGTGTGTGTGTCATCTTTATGTCTTATTTGTGTCTGAATCGGACAGGTTGAAATGAATGGCGGATAAACTCTTGTGCTACTGCGGTTTTTCAAAGCTGGTATGGGAACTGAAGCACATAGACAGAGGAAATTGCCATGCTAGCAGTTTCCCTGAAGAGCAGCATAAAGACTCTGTGAATATCTTCATGTGCGACACTGTTTATATGTGTAATGAATTTAAAAATGTATATATTTTTTATCTTGTTGGTCAAACGCTCTTCTTTCTTGATGAAAGAGAATTTCTGAACCTTCACGGCATTTATCTCACTCCTTTCCACTTCTCATTTGCTAATTTTTGAGAAATCATGTGTATGGTTTCAATGAATCCTCAGATATTGATGTTTTTCTATATTCCTGTATTTACTAAGGTGATGGAAAGACATGAGACATTAATAATGAAAAAGGGCTGTGTGGAGATATATTGAAACGTGTCTGTTGTGTTATTTTAAGTGTCTTAATAATATAAACCAACTTTATTTTGTGTGATTTAAAACACAAGGCAAGTCCAGTGGTTCTCACACAGGGGCCGGTGTCCACTCGGGGGCCTCCATTAACTTTCAAGGGGGCATGGGATGATGTAAAAAGAATTAATACATATTTTTAATATATTAGAATGCTTTATGCTTTTCTGCTTCAATAACTAAAATTTTTTTTATCAAAGAACATAGTCTTTAGAATACTGTGTTGGTCAGCTGGGGCTGTAGATTGAGAAAGGTTGAGAACCACTGGCCTTGTTCATCTCAGCAAAGACAGCTTAAAAAGAATCGACGTGCATCAGAATATCACTGTGGGTTCACTGATATTTGTCCAGGTTCACAGTCACACTGCAGAATGTGGTGTCACTCCTCCTCTGAGTGTTTTATCTGGTTCTGTTCACACACAGTTTGTTTATCAGCAGGAGTGACGCCGCATTATACAGCCCAGTTCATTCCTGGAGGATTCAGCCAGCGACTGCTGCATTGATATGGAGTTTAGGAGGATGCTGGCGGCTGGAAATCACAGTGTCTGAACTCATTCACAGTTTTTGATATTTCTTTTTCTCCACTAGTTCCTTGCACCAGCCCTGTGGCTCATCACCGTCTGGATTACTGAAACGAAAACACATAACAACTACATAGAAATGTGTCCATGCCTAAAACTAAATTGACTCTGATGCAGCCCACTAATGATAATGAAGCTATATAAAATATATTATATTATAGAGAAAGCCAACTTAGTGATCTACTATATAAACAACTTCTGAGCCAAAATTTTGTCAGCATCTCCTCCTAAAGCGTTAAAGCTAGAACCGCCAAACTGGGCTCAGACCTTCAGACTGTTCTTAAGTTAGTTGCTATATCTCTTCTGACTGATCTGACCTAAGAACCGGAAGTTGTGGCCGACTTTATTTCAGTATGGTGATATATTTCCATCTGAAAGGGAATTTTGAATAGAGGGTGGGGTTTTATTTCAACTCAGAGCACTGCGGGAAACACCCATTCCACTGACATGAAACCTGTGCAGACGGCAGAAAACACATGCTGAGAACGCAAAGAAATATACAGCTAAGTGAGTGATGTTAAGTGTTCGGTTTCTTTTTGGGGCAGTTAGGCCTTATTTGGAGGCAGTGTAAAATGATCTGTGAGATTTAGTGTTTGTGGATGTTACCATTCATTTGTCTTCTCATCGAAGCGCACCACATCAGAGGTTGTGAAGACTCCATTAAAGCTCCTGACAGCAAACAACTGATCATCAACCACCTGGATTTTGAAGAAGGTAAAAAGGAAATTAAATCATGTTCAGCTAAAGGCTTTACCTTTATATGAACAAATCTAAGTATTGATTAAACACTTCAATGAAACATAATAATGCACAATATAAAATGCCTCGACTCTTGGAATTAGGTAGATGTTTTTGTAGTCCAACACATTGAGCAATATTTATTCATTTTGACATTTCCAAGAAGCCTTCTAGAGTTTTTGAGATGCAACTTTCTGCTTGCTGTCAATATGGAACCAATACAGTTTCCCTATATTCATAATTACCCAATCATTATTATAATGTTATTTCATAGTTTCAGTAGATGCAGATTAATTGTCCACATCTCATCTCAATGCCAAAGCTTCTGCGTGGGTTGTACATAGATGCAATATCACACCAGATGTTAGTCAGTGGGTTGTAGGTTTCTGCACTCTGCAAACGACTGGCACCATCAAAACCACCAACCTTTAAAAAACACATTTTTAGTTATGGATTCTGTGTGTTTGTATGAATGCATTTATATACGTGCAGCCTTTAAACTGTGATTGCTTCCATGATTCTGCATGTGTGTAAGGATTAATATTACAGATAACTAAGACTATTAAAATAAATTGTTCTTGAAATGAAATAATAAAAAAAAAAACTCCTTAATTCCTTAAACTCATTTTATTTCAGCTAGCAAGACAACATTTTTTTTTCCATTTAGTTTAAAACTATATAGATGTAATACAGTGCGTGAGTCGGGAAGGAGCCTCCTGCACCACTTTTTTCTTGTGCTCCGGTAACCGATAGGGGCAGCTGCGCGCCACTTCCCCGGGGATCGTTTCGATGTGGTGTTATATGAGGTTCGTGCGACCGGGCAGGGGTGAAAACACATCAGCAAAATCTGCTTGCAACTTGGCTAGCTCGCTGAGCTGCAGCGGCGAGAGGTGATCTCCCCCAGGGACCAGAGCGAGCGGATTGGTTTTGACAGCCGTTTCCGGTCCGAGATCTTCCTCTGCCGAAACGGCCGCTGCTAACCCCACCGAGGTCACCTCATTCCAACGTTTTAAAAGGTTGAGTTGATAAACTTGACCTGAATTACCCCTGTCCGTTCGCCTAACCTCACAATTGAGATCCCCCACTCGCCGTGTAACCACAAAAGGTCCTTGCCACTTCGCGAGCAATTTAGAACTAGACGTTGGAAGTAATACAAGCACTTTCTCTCCCGGTGTAAA